CAGCACCAATTTTAGGGTATCCACTGCCAGAAGGAGAGTTCATCTTAGATACAGATGCAAGTAATGTGGGAATTGGAGGAGTGCTGTCTCAGATTCAAGGAGGACAGGAAAGAGTCCTTGGATATTTTAGTAAAGTCCTCTCAAAACCTGAGCGAAATTATTGCGTCACGAGAAGAGAACTTCTGGCAGTAGTGAAATCAGTAGAGCACTTCTATCAATACCTCTATGGAAGGAAGTTTTTAATCCGAACCGACCATGCCGCCCTTAAGTGGTTGATGCAGTTTAAGAATCCAGAGGGTCAGATAGCCAGGTGGATCGAACGACTCCAAGAATATGATTTTAAGATTGAGCACCGAGCCGGAGTTAGCCACCGAAACGCCGATTCTCTTTCCAGAAGGCCATGCCCAGCAGAGTGTTCTCACTGCAACAAAACGGAATCCAAGGAAGCAGCAGTGCTAAGAACGACGGTGGTCCACGACGACTGGACGCCTACCAAGATCAGGGAAGAACAAGAGAGAGATCCAGTTATACAGAAAATCCGAAAATGGAAAGAGGAAAACCGTCGACCACCTTGGCAAGAAATATCGAACCTAGGCTCAATAGTTAAGACGTATTGGGCCCAGTGGGACTCATTTATCATGGAAGATGGCTTGCTCAAACGAGTCCTGGAAAATGATGACGGTTCAGAGAAGAGAACACAGTTGGTGATTCCAAAGAGCAGAATAGCCGAAGTACTTCGTCAGTTACACGACAGTCCATCAGGAGGGCATTTTGGTGTGAAAAAGACCCTTCAGCGAATTCGGGAACGGTTTTATTGGATGAACAGTTCCGACGATGTAAAAGACTGGTGTAAGAAATGTACTATTTGTGCTACGAGTAACGGGCCTTATCGAAAAAGGAGAGCTCCTATGAGACAATATAATGTTGGAAGCCCGTTTGAAAGAATAGCTTTGGACATTGCTGGGCCGTTTCCAGAAAGTGATAATGGAGGCAAGTACATGTTGGTAGTAATGGATTACTTCACTAAGTGGGTCGAGATTTACGCACTTCCAGACCAGAAAGCGGCCACCGTTGCAGATAAGTTGATCCAAGAATATATCAGCCGATTTGGAGTGCCTTTGGAGATCCATAGTGACCAAGGCAGGAACTTCGAAAGCGATTTATTCCAAGGAATATGTGATAGACTAGGTATGAAGAAAACAAGGACTACGGCTTATCATCCGCAATCGGATGGTATGGTAGAACGAATGAATAGAACAGTTGGCAAGTATTTGACAAAGATGGTGTCCGATCATCAGCGAGACTGGGACCAATATCTCCCGTTCTTCACAATGGCCTACAGATCTGCTGTTAATGAATCAACAGGCCAGACACCAGCCAAAGTCCTATTCGGACGCGAGATGCGACTACCTTGTGATCTAGAGTTTGGGTGTCGACCTGGAGAAGATGTAGCAGGTGAAGATTATGTGATCGAATTACGAAGAAGAATGGACGATGTACACGAGTTGGTCCGTTCCCATCTCCAGGTCGCTAGTGACCGAATGAAGAAACGGTACGATATGCAAGCCGAAAAGGGGTGTTTTAAGAAGAACGATAAAGTCTGGCTTTATAACCCCAAAAAGCGAAAAGGTTTTTCTCCCAAATTGCAGCAGTTTTGGGAAGGTCCATACCTCATTATGGAGAAGATCAATGATGTTATTTACCGAATAAGCAAGATTCCGAGAGGAAAGCCGATGATAGTACACCATAACCGGCTGGCGTCTTTCGAGGGTGACCACGACGTAGATGAAGAAGTGGAAGTAAACCAAGTCCAAGATGTGTCTGACCTCACGTTTGAGGAATTCATGGGTGCCTATGGAGGTACCGGTAAAGCAAGACATGGTGTTACCACTGAAGAAAGGCAAGATCTACTCGCGCTTCCCGATGACTACTCACTGGCCCTTACCATCCCGGCCAGTATCAAAGATGCACCAGGGTTGGCATCCGTCTTTCGAAGGAAGTTTGGTCGAGTTGCAGAACTTCAATGCCAAGTGCCAGCTCCTGGTAAAACCTTGAAACTTCAAGATGCATCACGTTACCTTTTCTACCTGGTAACAAAAGACACTGCCCGTGACCAACCTACCTACCGAGATGTATGGGAAGCCTTACTTCAGTTGAGAGAGCACGTACTAGAGTCCGACGTGCAAAAGTTAGCCATGCCAAAGTTGGAGTGCCGCCAATTAGATTGGAGGGTTATACGAAACATGGTGGAGGAAATCTTTAAAGACACCGAAGTCCAGGTGTTAGTCTGTTGCAATCCGCATAGTTACTGCTGCGGAGAGAAAACCGTCCCTTGTCATTTCTATACAACTGGAAGTTGTAAAAGGGGGTCCAGTTGCCGATATCAGCATGTCGTTCCAGTTCCAGTCCCGACAAGGTTCCAGGAGGAACCATCTTTTAAGAGGGGGGCAATGTTACGATTTTAAATGTTATGGCATATAGAACTGTAAATATTTTATGACTAATTCTTTTTTATTGATTCTCGTAATTTGTAGGTCAAAATATACCTGAGCTTAGCTACCAGTTGTTTACCAGAAATCTCTAGACCCTAATTTTAGTGAGTCATCCACGTCTCGAGGTTGAAAAACGAGTCGAGCGCCTTCACCAAAATACGAGATTATTCAGGAAGTTGGCCGAAAGTTCCAGTATTTTCGACAATGGTCAGGTCAGGTCTAGGCGGTCTTACGGTTCTTTATATAAGAACGAAATTTTATTGAAGAAGTCAGTCATAAGAAGCTCGGCAACCGCGATATTTAAATGTAACGAAACATAAATTATTATTTGTAATATAAATTAGAATTAATAAAGACTTTAATAAATTCGTAATTAGCTATCGTGAGTTTTAATAAATTAGATTATAGACAATAAATTAGAATAAAGACAAATAAATTAGAACTATATAAATATACAAACTTCACAATACACAGCAAATTAAGACGATTAATAAAAATGACAATGAGCAAAACCGTAGTAACTGTAAAAACACAAGAAGGAGACACAGAAGAATTTGTTATAAATAAAGGTGTACGTCAAGGAGATTCATTATCTGCAACTCTGTTTAATCTTGCGTTGGAATATATAGTCAGAAAAATCAACAAAGGTACACTTAGAACGAGAGAGGGACAAATAATAGCATATGCCGACGATATTGTGATAATAACAAAGAACAGAAAAAAATGGAAAGTATGTTAAACGAATTGGTAGCAGAAGGGAAAGTAATGGGATTAGTAATAAATCAAGAAAAAACAAAAATAATGAGATTTGACAAAAAATATGAAAACAAAAAGGTTAGACTGGGAGAATATATATTTGAAGAAGTAGAAAAGTTTAAGTATTTGGGAATATTATTAGCAAACAATGGAGAAAGGGAAACAGAAATTAAAGAAAGGATAATTACAGCAAATAAGACATACTATGCAAATAAAAAGCTTCTAAAAAATAAATTACTGAGCAAAAAATCGAAAATGAAAATATATAAAACAATAATTCGACCGACTATGATGTATGCTGCCGAAACCCTTAGCATGACAAAAAAACAAGAGGAAGACCTTAGAATACTAGAAAGGAAAATACTAAGAGCAATATTAGGACCAATAAAAATTAATCAAAACCAATATAGACAAAGAACGAATCATGAACTACTAAACGAAATTAAAGAGGATATAGTTTGTAAAATAAAACAGCAAAGGGCAAAATGGCTAGGACATATATGGAGATCAGGACCATCTACGACAATATTCTCAATATTGGAATGGACACCAGCTGGTAAACGAAGACATGGAAGACCAAGATCTACATGGCTACAAGAAGTAACAAACGATCTCAACAGGGCGGGCGTACGACAATGGAGAGAAAAAACCAGAGATAGGAAACGGTGGAGAAAAATAACAAGAAAATTTAAATAAAGAAAATGAGGACTGATCTACCTCGTAAAATAGATCTAGAGAGCTTAAGCGGCGTAACCCCGTAAGGGGTGTTTAGCCACAATATATATATATATATATATATATATATATATATATATATATATATATATATATATATATATATATGCAAGTAGCAGGAAACAATGGATACAACGAACAAACCTTTATTAAAATTTTAATTCGAAAACTACACAAGAAAACCCTGCAATTAGTAATTCCATCACCAGAGAAAAAACCCAGTACCTTCTGCTCGATTACATATATAGGCAAAATATCAACAAAAATAGCCAAACATACTAAAGAAAGGAATAACAGCAGCTTTCAGAACAAACAACAACTTAGACAAATATATTAAAAACAACAAGAGCCAAAATAAAAAGCACTTACACAGTAGCGTATACAAACTTAAATGTGGCGACTGCCCAAAAACTTACATCGGTCAAACTGGTAGAAATTTTAAAAAACGAATAGCAGAACATAAAAGGGCTTTCAATAATAGAAAAACAGATTCTACATACGCACTTCACCTTCTAGATCATAATCGAATTTCCAATTCTTCACATTCAAAATAAAGGCCTTAAGCTATCTTTGTTGGAATCTATGGAAATTAACAAATTAAAACACAGATATAATTCTGAATGACCAAGTTGAGATAAACAGTTCTCCCCTCCTCAACATATTTCATTAAAGACTATAAAGTGTAAACGCATGCCAAAAATAGATCAGACATAATAGACTTGAGAAAGGCACTCTGCCGAAACAGCTGTAGTGATAAACAATTATAATAAATTTTGTGGAAGTTTTGAAAACAAAGTTTTCAGTGTTTTATTGTTATTAATAATATATTAGAAAATATCACATAAGTCATTTTGGATACGTCGCGTCGTACAAACTACTATTACAATTTGTTGTCTATCGCAAAGAAACTTAATGGAATGCAACAAGGAACGGTTTCATACGAAGATGAAGGATAACGCAATGCGAGATTAACTCATAGATAAATAAAAATAATGTACAATATGTAAAACCACTAACCTTTAGAGAGTTCGGAAGTCCAATGAAGGAGAACTTCTTCAAATTGTTCTTTCTCGCACTATTCATTATCACAGACTTTTTTATACACTGCTTCAAATAAAACTGTCTATAGTACACAACACACAAAAATCTAAAGTATTTTTAATCACTTAATCACAAATATTTACATTTACATTTACGGTGAACCGAAGAACACTTTTTTTCTCGGGGACCTGCCCAGGCGCGTAATTGCAAACAGTAGTTGAAAGAGCATAGGGTATCCCAAGTCCGACGTTTCGACTTTCTGGAAGCTGCACCGCAGCAGTAACCGTTGTGCAACGTACGAACCCGTCTTGCAGAATAAGTGTCAACTTATAGCAGATCTGAAACAAAACGATCAAATAAATACACAATCGATTGAAATCTGCGATTCGGATATCGAGTATGAGTAATAGGTGAATTAAAGCGTTGATAGGTAAATTATGTTGCGTAAAGTTCGATTTATTTATTATATTGACGAAGGTAATTTATTTTGGATTAGGACAAAAATATTTCATTTTGTGGCCTTGACATTCATCAGGGAACATTATTTTAAACTCTACGTATTTTGCATAATATTCTGTACTAAAAAATGTATCAAGACGAATATACAGGGTGAGCTAGCAGTGAAATAAAGTTACTTCACACGTATCTTCCGAATTTTGACTGTAACAACTTTCGAATTATACAATATCTATCAATTCTAAAAACTATCAATTCTAGCAATCAAAATCTTTCAAAAAGAATCTTGAAAAAACTTTATTGAACATTTATTTTCAGTATATAGGAGGCTTACGTATCAAACTTAACATCTTACAACAAGTGGTTGCTTGTTCTGATTATAATATAATTATACTAGTTGAAACCTGGTTTAATTCTGACTTAAATAATGCTGAGTTGGGACTTTCCAATAACAGCATTTTTAGAGCCGATAGAAATCATCTAACAAGTCATAAGCAACGTGGAGGAGGTGTTCTACGAGCACCTCTCTAAGTCACAGAACTACGAACACTTCTTTGCCGGTACTGTCCAAAATTATTGAGAGAAATTAAAGCCAACCGTCCTCTCTCGTTGAAAAAATATTTTATCACAAAATCTCTTCGGCTTTTTATCTAATAAATATAGTAGTGATGCTATGTTTTTAGTACTACATGAGGTTTACCAAGCACTATACAATAATCTTTACAGTGCTACTATTTTTTGTGACTATGCCAAAGCTTTTGATTGTGTAAATTACGACATTTTGATAAAAAATCTAAATTTCCACGGAACTTGAGGTATTTCTTTGAATTGGTTCGTAGTTCGTCGTAATTGTGTTCGTAGTTCTCTGGTACCGGTAGTAAGGCAATAGGTCTATAGTTGCAAGCATACGATTTTTCGCCACCCTTATGAAAAGGAATAATAATGGCTGTCTTTAGACACTTTAGAAATATACCTTTCTCAAAGGAATCATTAATAAATGGGACTAGGACTTCCAACAGATTTGTTGGGATATTTGAAAAAAAATTATGGATAGTCCATCAGTACTACAGGAAGATTTGTTTTTGATACTTTTGATTGATTGGATCCGTTCAGATTTATCAACTGGTTTTATAAAGAATGAATTCGAGAGCTTTTTTGAATTGGGAAAATATGAAATGGGATCTTGTGTTGTGTCAAAATAGCCCACGTTATATTTTTACTCACATTACCGAAGTATTAATTTTGATTTTCAGGGTTTGGAAGAGAAAATATTTGAGCTGTGTTAGTTTTATTTTGAAGATCGTTTAGGCGTTTAGACCAAATTTCTATTGTTCTTCTTTGCTAACACTTTTAGAGATTTTCAGATGATTTTGATCGTGAACAAGGACCTGAAAGCAGCAAGATCAGCCTTCACCTCAGTTGGACCAATTTCATAGGCATCAATAAATTCTAGAAGACTCTTTCGTAAATTTTTGTCTTAGTGTGAAGTCCGTCGGAAGCCACAAAGAGTTTAACGCTTGTGTTGGTAAATCCTTCGTAACATACTGAAGCAGGTTGGTCGTGTAGAAAAACAAGATGTAGTTTAATGGCATTTAAGATATTTGGTGCCCTTAATCTTGCTAGAAGATATCGACAGTTGGAGTTACTGGTTAAACTCTTGGCGGGGTAACCGGATCAAGATTTTTTGATGGTTCCAAAGTATCTTTCTTAGGGCCGGTTTCACCAACGACAAATAGCAGTCTATTCAATGAATAAAGTTATTCGACCAATAAAACTGACATATCTGCGTTTCACCAACGTCAAATAAGACTTATTCTATGAATAAACTCCAAATAAGTTATTTGTCCAATATCGGCCCAATAAATATTTATTCTTCGAATAAGTTGGCAGCTTACCTCACTTTAAATATCAATAATAAAGAAAATTCATTAGTTTAACTTCAAATTATCAACAATGTATTGCAGGCAAACGTAATTATATCAGACAATTTAATTTTGTATACATATATATTTATTTTCGAATATTATCTTCATCATCATCCTCTGAAGGCTGCAAAGAAGAAACCCTTTTGCTGAATTTGATGATGTTGACTTTAAAACTAGGTTTATATTATCAAAAAATTTAGTAGATCATTTATAAAATTTGATTGGTAACCAATTGCATCCTGTAAGCAACAAAAATAGGCCCATAGATGTGCGAAATCAATTGTCAATTGCTCTTCGTTTTTATGCAACAGGATCGTTTCAAAGTGGTTTCAAATATGTATTGGCATTGACAATTATTATTATTTTGACAAATTAATCAACCAATATCAAATATTATAGGTTATGTATATGATTACAGTGAAAAATAGTGCGATGTGCCTGGCCAAACACCTAAGAGGTGGAGGCCAAGAGAGGTTTCAACGAGTACAGTCTGTGTAAAATCATTACACTTTGAACTTATTCTACGAATAACTAACTGTGGATTACAAATAGTTATTGAAACGGAATAAAATTTATTCTACTAATAAATTTTATTCGACGATTAACTGTTCAGTGATTTATTTGTTGTTGGTGAAACCGGCCCTTAATTAAATTAATATGGGAATGGTAAGAATTCTTTAATTTGCAATTTCGATAGCCTACTTAACTCTGAGTATTTTTGTGTTTTCCACTTCATTTTTGGTGTTGCTTGAAATGGTAATTGGATTTTCTAAGTTAACGAGGCTTCTGATGTTCTTCGGACTCATATTTGACTCAGATAAAGGTGTTGGTTCAGAATATGAAGATTCTATAGACCATTTAATGTTCCCACCAGGGCAGATTTCCTTATTAAATAATAAGTCAATGGAGGTTTTAGTTTTTATGCCTATTTTGAATGAGGAACCACTCTCTGTGTCGGCATTTTGATGGAGAGCATTCTTCTTTTGGTATCTATTCATTTCGAATATTGGCAATCATTCTGGTTATAATTATTTTATTAACTGATGCTTTAAATATATTAGTTGTTGTTATGAAGAACCATTTCCTCAGGTTTTTTAACCATCATATTCTTCTTCTCTTGCTGAATACTTTGCCTTGAAGGATTATTTTCAGTAATCTGTATTTAGTATCGTTTGTAAAGAGAGGATAACATCTAATATATTCCTTGATACCTAGCTTCTCTTTAATAAAGTGAACCACGTGTATATGGGTGTAAATCTGTAATTTTTGGCTTTTTCTCTGGACTTAATTGGAAATATTGAGGGTCTTCAGTTTGGGTACTGATTTTTGAAGACAGGCATTCGAACCCCATCTTAATCTCAGTTAAATTTGAGTCTTGGACTTGAACCTTGATAACGATATATTTAAAATATCTTGTTCCATCTGCCTACGGGTATTTCATGCATAAATTAGGCATATTGCTAATAAATAATCTAAAGGCACATGCCTGTCAATTAGGGATGTGTAGTTCACCATCAAAATAGTTCTAATGAACGATTCTTTCAACTGAACTATTTGAACTAGTTCATTAATTTTCATAGAACTAGTTCACTGCGAACGATTTGCATTATAAATTATGTCTCAACTTCTAAAGAAGAAAATAATGAATGAATAAATTAGAACATATATTTATTATTTTGTGAATGGATGGACTAACTAGTTTAAAAAAAATGCCGATTAGCCTTAGATAACAGATTCATAATTCTTATGAATGTGACAATAACATTAAGTCTTATCTTAATGTCATAATGGTTCGGATCTTATGCCCATGTATTGGCTTGGATGTTGCCGTGCTGTGTTGTTTCTTGTATTGTAATTTTGAAATAAACATTTTAGTTGTGGTTAAAATGATTGAGGCATTTACATAAAATATAATTTTATGTAAAAGTGAGAATGAAAATGTGTTATTTAATGTTCCTAGAAAATTCACTGATTTTGTTTGTAAAGGTTCTTTTAGAAATAACCTAACTATAAATACCTATGAGTTTAAATATACGTAAATATAAAAATAAATCATACTTGAACCATATTTATATTTAAAACGGTTAATAAAAAACAAATCTTAATAATTTTTTGCAAATAAAAACTAACTAATCATATAATAATTTAAACCATTTAAACCTAATCATACGATCGAAAGAAATAGTTCCGAACTACTTGTACGGTAGTGTACTAGTGAAAGACTGAAAGAAAACGGGCGGCTAGCGCCGAGCTTGTGTGATGATTGAGACGAGACATCTGGCAACCAGTTTTGTTAGGGTTGGATTTCGATATCGGTCCTCCAAATAGTTCTTTCGCCGCGAACTAGTTCACTGAACTAGTTCATTTTTGTGAAATAGTTCTGTTGAACTAGTTCGTCTAAAAGAACTAATAAGCACACCTCTACTGTCAATTGACAATGTCTGTCAATAAAAATAAATATAAAAACCTACGTCTGCCACATTCATACCTTTTATCTAGTGGGGTAATCAATACAGGAATTGAAATGTAAATGTTTATGGACACCTTAAAATATTAAGGTTTTGTATACAAAATTGGAGCTTTTAACTTTTCATCACAACTAAATAATGTGTAGTGGAGTAAATATGAAAATAATACATTAGTGAGTACAAATTAATATGCATTGTATAAATAGTGCTTATTTCAATAAATAGTCAATACATTTGCAAATAATTCAACTATTCCAACTATGTCGATTGGTGAGAGAGAGCGGTCCCCAATTGCAAGTTATGGTAACTTTCCGCACAATTTATAAATTATACATGAAATCCAGTAACTATCACGGTTAAGTGTATGTCATGTTGTGAATTGATAATCTCTCCAATTAGTAGTTATACAACAAACCCTCAATCAGGTGAAATGCATTATTTGGGAGGATGTCTAGAATTCAATGCTGAACGACCATTGTTAAATTTGGA